AGTAAAAAGTAGATTTAAAATAGCAATTGCTATTATTATCTGATTGATATTAATATCAGTATAATTAGATAGTTTATTGAAATCGTCAATTTAGTGACAATTTTTATACCAAAATTTTGAATGTGGTTGTGAAACAAGAAAATACCTACTACTTGAAATGATCACCTAAAATTAGCAAAATTGAATTTATGGTGAAAATTTTTTTTTTCTTTTAGGGAATTAATAGTTTGATAAATAGTTGTAGATAGGTATATCGCATACTCATTTTTTAACAGTAAATTTTTTTCTCAAAATATGTACGTTTTTTCCTCAAAATTTCAGAAATCACGTTACGTGAACCAGAATTCATTAATTCAATTACTTCATTATATAGTAGGAATCTAATCGAAAATTGGAAGTTAATTAAAGTCTCTCGAGAACGTAACAGAGTATGACTTTTACATACTACACAAATCTAAACATGTTTAAAATATGCCAAATAATAATATGAAAAAGTAAGTTTAATTTTACTAATTTGCGCTACATAAAGTTAATATGAATGTATGTAATGATTTAAAATTAAGTAGATTAATAAATCTATTCTATTAATAATTTGATAGATCTATTCAATTGCCAGAAAAATTTAATATCTTTGTGTAGATTTTGAATACGCCGTTAGATAAAAGAGACTTTTTTGGGCTTCAGTACAGTATGGTACATTAGGTCAGTTTTTTAGGCGTTAGTCACATGAATAAATCTTTAATCTATTTTTTTCAACAAAATGAACTTTATATAACTAGGTTTTTTACCTTTCCATTTTTAATACCGTCAGTCTCGATACAGCCGCGCGGTTTAACGATGCATTTATCAGTAATATCGGCGCCAATATTATCCAAGCGAATAACATTGTCGGTTGATCCTGGACAGTTAGCAATTGATTTCACTTTTATCGTGACTCCTGCCTATAAATTAAGTGATTTTAATTATTTTTATTTATATAAAACTACCTTAACACATAAAGTAATACGTACACATGATTCTCCTAAATCAATAAAAGCTGCTGCTAGGAAAAGAACAATACAAATAATGTGTTGAATAAACATTTTTTCAGATTTTTATTTACAAACAAATAATATATTTTGATTTCAAATAAATTATTACCATTGTTACAGTTATCTTATATACCTCGTTTTATCTTTTCAATAAATCATAATTTGCAGGATGTAAAATAAACAATCATCGCGGATATTTCGATGACTTTCGTAATATGAATGTGACATAGTATATTTCAATGTAAAATATATTATCCGACAATGAAAAAATAATTACAAACGATTATGTTATTTTCTAAATTTTACCCGTATACAAGGATTATTTGTTTAGAGGTCATCTTAATCACAAAGTTCAAAGAAATAATTTATATTATAATTTGTAAAAATTATATACCGCTGTCTCCGGGCTGGACGAGGCAATTCAAGAAAAAAAAGAAAACATAAATTTGTGAATGGCGAAAGAAATGCTGCACCAATTCAAATGTTGCATTGGAATATATTATTCTGAATTTATCGCAATCATTTCACAATTTGGCAATTAATTAATTATAGTAATGTCAGTATATATGTTAGCCGGGCTTGCAAAAAATTTTTAACCTGGGTTTAACCGTTTCCGAGATATTCGCTTAAATACTTTAGAATTTAGACCGCTATTTTTATATTAAGTCGTATAATTCGAAAAATATTGGAAGTCGATACATAAAATTTCTATAATGGCTTCTCCTAGTTGTCCTCCTAGTAGGTGACGGAGTCCTCCTAGGTGCCGGACTGTCGAAAACTCCGGACTATCAGGCAGTTAATTAAGACAATTAGGTCAATAATTAAACTACAAACACAGTACAAATTGGTGGAAAACAGTTTTTGGCAAAAACGGTTATTCTGTCCTCTTAAAAAAAAACATTAGCTGTTTTTCTACTCTCCCTGTTATCGGGGATGTAAAATCATTTTGGTATTATAACTGAACTATTCTTTTTAAATCGAATAATTATAAGCGATATGTCAATATAAGGGAAGTTATTACATCCGACTATTTTATCAGGAAATTTATATGATAAACCAAGCCTCTTTGTATGATTAAACACCGCCATATAAGCGGTCCGTCAAAATAACTGACGTCATACTAAGCGGATTCTACTGCATGACAATGTAACTCAAACTAAAGTGATATACTAAAATTTTAATGAACGTGAAAGATGATATAATATAATTTAATTAGTTGCAACTTGGTTTTCAGTTTTTTCACTCGTGCAATTGCATTACAATTCACTTCCCAATGAGAAGTTAGTTTTTGCCAGAAAATCCGATTTGCTCGGCGTTTTAAGTCATTCTGAATCAAATGAGACCAAATTTGGAAAAAGTATGTATGTGTGTGTGTGAGAGAGCTTATTTTTGAACTCGCTGACATTTTTTCATAAACAGCTCGACCGATTTTAAAAATTTGAAAACTATTAGGTATAACTCGAGTTATATCTGCTCATTATAAAGAAATGGCTCGGATAGTCCTTATAAGATATATCGATCGATAAGGACTGTCCGAGCCATTTCTTTATAATTAGCAAAAAAGTGTAAAATTTTTCGTCTACGCTTTTTTAGACCACGATTGCGAATGGATTTTGGAAATTCAAAAACTATTGGAGAAATATCTCTCCAAATACATCACACACGTTTTGTATGTCCGCATTTTTTCGTTCACGTTTTCGGGCGCACGGATCAAACGATTTGAATGGTTCAAAAAACATTCGATTCCTATTGATAGAGAGATGTGCTGATTAGTTTATGGCAAAGGCAGGTCCAGCCGTTTCGAAGATCCGGAGCTACATGCGGGGCCGGATTTAGAAATTTGGCGCCCTAGCGCGATTTGGAAATTCTGCCCCTTTTTATGCCTTATTTTTCTAAAATTAAAATAACTATTTGATTACATACTCACGCATTACATACTTGTTCTATGTTTAGATACAATTTTTATTTAATTTTCAATTTTTGCCGCCCCAGAAATTTTGTCGCCCTGAACACTAGCCCCGACTGCCCCTACTGTAAATCCTGCACTGGCTATATCTACAAAAATGGCAGTTTTTGAGAGAACTAAGCATCCGATTTGAATGATCTAGAAAACATTCAATTCGTAATGATGGGGAGAAGTAGTGATTAGTTTTTGGCAAAGGCAGGTCCAGCCGCTTTGAAGATACGGATGAGCTAAAATGTACAAAAATGGCAGTTTTTTAGAGAACTAAGCATCCGATTTGAATGATCTAAAAAATTTCGTTCAATTCGTAATGATGGGGAGAAGTATAGTGATTAGTTTTTGGCAAAGGCAGGTCTAGGTCGAAGATACGTATAGCTAAATGTTCAAAAATGGCAGAACTATAAGCATCCGATTTGAATGAGAAAAAACTTTCTGCTTATGTTGACGAAACAATTGCTTTTGGAAAAAAAATTGTATTTATTTTTTTTTAATTTTTTTTTTATATACCGAAAATAATTCAGGTTTTAATTTTATTTCTTCTTAAAGTTCTAAAGCTCACTTATATACTTTAAATAAACAATTTTAATTTTGCAATTCAGTTTATATAATTCTTATAATTATTAAACAATGTTACAGTATTTATTTATAATAATCTATTTGAAAACGTTTAATATATTCTTTGAACATTTCGTTACGGTACGGGAAGTTTCAGCAATTTGCCTTAAGGCACGATGACATACACCACTAGTTCTTTTATAAATCAAAGGACTTATAATTATCTGTTCAAGTTTGTAATGCTTTATTGTTAGCAAAAATAGTTATTTTTACAATAACTATGTTAATTATATTGTTATTGAATTATTGTGTGTGTGTGTTTTCATAATTTAAAATACGCGCTTTGTAATTCGATTAAAGAGGGCAACACTAATGGCACATATCGGCATTGACAATACCTATAAAAACAACAACAATTTTGACAAGTTATTGAAAAGCATGAATGCTCATTTGTAATTTCACGTGAACTTTCTTCTTATATTAAATTTATTGCATACATTGATTCAATATAATTTTAAATGGGAAGTTTAGATGAAGCATCTAAAACTGGCTTTTTATGCAGATTATGTTCCGAAATGCACAAACATGTTATTCTTATCTACAGCGATAAGGGTATTTCCATGCAGCTAGCACACAAAATCAATAACAATCTTCCAGTGACCGTAAGACATATCGAATATATTATTTTTATTGAAAGCAGTTAAATTTAACTTATAATATTTTATTCAGATATCTCCGACAGATCCTTTGCCCAAAACAATTTGCTTATCTTGTATTCAACAATTGGAAGCGACATGCAAACTGATAACTCAGTTGCAAACAGTAAGACAATTATTAGGAATGAAAAAGCAAGTTAAGCCAGAAAATGAACGTTGTGAAACAGTACATTATTTAAATAATGCAGCTTTGGATTCATCAGATGAAGATTCTGATGCCAGTGAAGCATAGCATTAAAAATGATATATCGATTTAAGTATTAACAAAGAAAACAATTGGATTAAATAAATAAACAACTCGCCAATTTAGTGATAAGTTTAAACTGATATTATATGTGAATAATTAAATTATCTATGTTAAATAATTTCAATAGTTTTATTTATTGTGAGAGATTTAGCGTGAAAGCTATGATGTTTACGTCAACGTTGTCCTAACATGGCATAATGAAATTCTTCAGAGAAACATTTTATTAAATCATTTATTTTAGAATATTTTCATAATTTGTAACATGAATTATAATACAATCTGCAACCTCCTTACATCAGCATAAAATTAGTTAATGCTGTATTAATTCTATTAAGATTATATCTCATATGATATAATTATGAAAAATAATATGGACTTAATTTTACGATAACACTAAAACATATGCAATTGTATCTCAATAATATATGTAATTAGATGACTATTTTTATTTTGCATATATCAAACGAATACATATAAACATTGTTCCTTTACTATATGACTTGCATATATATATAATTTATTTAAATGTACAACATAATATAATATAATAACTTAGTTATATATTTATGTAAGTGGAATGAAAATATGTCATGAGTATTTACATAATTATTCTAAAGAGTTCAGCATAAGCAACTGCTTCAGAACTTTTGTTTGAGACGTTTCTCGAATCTCTCCTGCCAAAAACATTTCATCTACTACAGTGTAGACTTTATAGAAATTGAACACCAAATCTAATTCACATACATTGTGAAAATACTCATTCAATACTTCAACAAAATTATGGATTGCTTCTAGGTAACACAAGTTGTTGTCATTGACATCAACACAAATACAGAAGTATAATCCTGCATATCTTCTGTACACAATTTTGAAGTTGCGAAACTGAAACGAATAATGAACATATTTATTAAAAAAAGAGCAAAAATTGTGTATAAAGCAAAAGGTCTACTTCAAAACATTTTTGATATTGTGATTATAATTTAAATTACTCTGCCATAGTGATTTCTAAAGAAACACCAAAATATAAATTGGAACAAAAATCATTAAATTTTTCTCTTCGATATCTGAATAGAAACATAAATTGTTGCACACATTCTACATAGAAGTTTATAACGATAATACCTTGCTGAATAACAATTGTTAAATTAAATTTGGCTAGCTTGGATTCATTGTACTCTCAAGATCAAATACTATGATGCAAAGAAAAAAGTGCTTCAAAGAGCTCTTATATTAAATTAAATTAAATTAAATTGTAAATAGTTAAAGACAAAAATGTTGGAAATTAAAAACTTAAAGTATACATCTTATCTCAATACCTCAACAAAATTTGTATGTTTGGCATCTCTAACAGTCACAACTGCGTGGACTTCCTCTATCAGTTTTTGCTTTTCATCATCATCGAAATTCATATACCATTTTGCTAATCTAGTTTTACCAGCACGATTTTGTATTAATATGAAACGAATCTAAAAACAAACAGAAATTAAAATATCTGACTTTTAGGGCGTTTCAGACTTATCATTTTAATCATTTATGGATTGTATTTAGTAATACACATGACAAAATGAATTATATAAGTTTCATTTTAAATTTACCATTTTCAGTTTATACAAATATCAAGAAAAGCTTATTTTACACAAATATTATTGTAGGAATAATAAAATACTAATGACAGCTTGAGAGTTCAATGAGATTCCAATCGAATTCCACTTGCGATATTTACGCAGTTTTCTTTGTTGGTACTCGTGTTAATGGAAACTCTGGTGGAAGATTTGCTCAAAATATTTTTACAAATTGGTTTAACATACATAATCCAACAAAACTGAATTTATTATAGTTAGTAGCATAGATAAAAGAAGAGTATATGGTTAGTAGATTTTAGAACATTGCGACCATTATTATATTGTCTAGGATTGCTGCACAAACATTTATGTTTAATTATTTATGTGCACTCTATAAATTTATAAGGACAAACAATATTCAATATTGGATGATGGCAACATATTTACGTATATGGTGTATACAAGTATGTATCTATGTATTTATTTATATATTTGTTTTGTTTTCATACATATCCATTAAAGGTTGTTCATATCATAGATAAAAAAAGAGTATAATATTTTGTACTAAATTTTACAGTTATACGTTTGGATTATTGTAAGTTTTTATATTTTACATATGCATTTGGCTAACGTACTTGATTATGTGAGCAATATACTAATAATAAAGAGAAAATACATACGTAATGTTGGAAACCTTTAACCAACTTTAATTAATAACTATACCTTATTATTTAAACCTACATGTTATTGTATCCGTCTCAAAATTAAAAATAATAAATATTTTTGCATATGAATTCATCCATAATTAAATGGCATACTAATTGTATAACTAACGCTGACTAACACAATACATTTTATTTATTAATTTCCCGTAGAGTAGTTATAGTAATGGGCGTTTCTGAACACATTGGCATACCTCAGAAAAAATTGATGTATGTGTGTCCGCCGTCCACAATTTTGGACGCACGAATCAACTGATTTGAATGGTTCAAAAAACGTTCGATACCTATTGATAGGGATATGTGCCCATTAGTTTTTCGAAGATACAGAGCTAAATGTATCTAAATGGCAGTTTTTAAGAGAACCAAGTGTCCAATTTGAATGATTCAAAAAACTTTCTGCTTGTTTAAACAAAATAATGGCTTTGGAAAAAAAAATTGTTTAAATTGTTTTCAATTTTTTTTATATCGAAAATAATTCAAATTTTAATTTTAATTCTGACTAAAGGTCTAAGCTCTCTTACTTTAAACAAATAATTTAAACTTTGAAAGCAGTTTATATAATTCTTTATCTATAATAATCTATTTGAAAACATTTAATATTCCTCGAAGTTTACCATTAGTCATTTTCTTCTTTTATCTATGCCACTAGTTTAAATTCTTTTATTTCGTGTTCGATGGCTTACGATTGCTTACCAATGGCTTACTATCTGCTTGTACCCAACCCTTGTATAGACGTCTCTCTTTACGTTCTACAGGTTGGTGAAGTTGCTCATTTGACAATTAGGTGGAATTCAAATTTACCGTTCAGAAACCTCTCATAAATCATTGCCAAAAGTTGAGCAAAATGAGCGAGGGAAAACCTATTTATAGAACCAGTTGATTATTAATATTCAAAATGAATCCTGTTTTTTGACATTTCTCGAGATAGTTCACTTCCGATGACTTCCAATTTGCAAAATTAAAAAAATACCGTCATGTCAAATAAATGAACATCAAGTTCAGGGTTAAAATTTTTGGATTTTCAAATTCAATCTAAATTAGTAATGTTTATTAATTTATATTATTGAGCTGGTTAAATTAAAAATTTCCGTAGTAGTTTCAAGTGATTAACAAGAAATTAATAATTTAAAATCAAAATGTGTGATGATGATGACGAAGAGGTTATAACTCAAGTGAGATCTTTTGTTTTCTTGGTGATATTATATATTATTTAATCATTTGCAAATATAATTTTGATTATAGGGCGGAGTGCTGCACCAACATTTATTAGCAAACGGATTATGTGATTTTGAAGTCAATAATAAATCACGACAAGAACAGCTCAATCTTCATGTTAAAAAAGTTGAATCCAAATATAAGTCGATGCCCTTCTTCAATATGTTTATTCCTTACAAAGTCAGTACAAATATTGTTTAATTTTTTTTATATAAATATGTTTAGAATGTTTTTATTGGTTGTATATGTATAATGTATAAATATTATTAATTCAAAAGTTTTGTAATGAAGTTCTAGTTTTAGATTAAACATTTATTAATTAACAAAAATTTGTTTAATGAACAGATTGATATCAAAATAGTAATTGCTTTATCATTACAGAAGTGCAATATGTCTCTTATACAAGAAATTAGGAACTGCCATTTATTACTAGAAGAAGATGCTTTATATTTAGAATCAATATGTCCGACAGTTCAGGAAGAACCTGCCGGCATTGGAAAAGCAGCTGGCATAGGTGTTGCTGTTGCCTGGCCTATGATGTTACTATGTCATACTCCATGGTAGTTATAATGAATTTCATTACTTTTATCAAATTTCTATAATTTAATAATTGAAATTCATATTTCTAATATCGAGAATAGCTTGAATAAAAATAATTGTTTTAAGCCCCTTGTAATCTAATTGTATCATTTAGTGAACTTGACTAAAGAGTTTGGTTTTTAATAATATATACTGTTTAATATTATATTTATTATACAAATAGTTTTTCTTCTTTATTTTTCATTTTAATTTTTATTGCTTATCAACTTGATTGTGTAAATATAGATTTAATTGGTATAATTCTACTTTGCAGTAAGAAGGTTTTAGCAATGACCATTGCCGGGCTAGGGCTTTTATCAATTCGACAACTGATTGGAGCTTTTCGACAAAAATTTGATCAAAGGTTGATGTGTAGTCTAGTCAGAGCATTAAGAGGATTTTCAGCTATTTGTAGAAAATCTCAACTTCTAGCACAAGAATGGGAAAGCATTGCGGGAAGCATGAATATGTATTTTATTCTATTATTTTAATCATTTATTTCTTATTTATATTTTATATATATTTCACTATACAAATTATTATTTATTTAATTACAATATTCTAATTAATATGGTTTCACAGTTTAAAGGATACGGCACTATTGAGAGCAAAAATGTGTGGCATTGATGAACTTAAGGAAGATTTAGTAAAATTTTTGCGATTGTGTGTTATCAATTTAACTGAATCGAGTCGAGATATTGTGAATATAACTACTGGAAATGATTTGCACCCATTATGCATGGAAGTTATGAGAAGTGAAGTTATGATTGAACAAACTAACAGTATTTCTAAAGCCAAGGTAGGACCAAATTATTTTTAGGACAGTTGACTAACTCAAATATTACATTGGTTTTTATTGCTTACAATGCATAAATGCAAATTCCAAATCCTACTATTATCAAGTGAGCTGCATTATTTAGATATTAGATTATAATAATCAGAAATATTATATTATATATTTAGGACCTATTACCATTTAATATCCTCTATCGGATGTACTGGAATCCCTTCTTTATTTTGATTTCAATAGCTGTTCTGCATTGGCTTTAAAGCACACATTCTTAACTTTGAAATAATTCAAAATATTGAACATAATTTCTGGTGCTGGAATTGAAAAAAAAATCTGAATTTATTTTACATATCTTCAAAACTTTTTTGCAACAAAATTCATCTAATTAAAATTTGTTTAAGCTACACATTGAAGAATATTACTTCTTACAAAACAATTATATTTCTTACAAAACAACAAATTAATCTATATTATGCCTATATGAAAAGTATATGAAGAAATCATCGGCGTTTAATTTGTATCTCAATTTCTTTTTAACATCTTGCTCTTTTAGATGTGTCAAAAATCAGATCTTTCTTTATAAACTTATATACAATAATTATTAGGCAACTGATAAATTACATTGTTAAATTATTCAAGAAAATCTCATAACTTATGTGTATAAGATTTATAATATTTGTTTCGAGTATTGTTATTTATCAGCATTCAGAATTGCAACACATGTATGTATATATATATTATATATATATATATATATATATATATTATGTAATAACTTAATTTTTGGTTACAGAAATTGCACTACCTATTTGTTTTGGTGCAATCAGACTTCTTAAAAAATTTGGCTGTTAGCTTTATGCCCTCAAAAAAATCTGTATCTAATATGGCTGGTAATTATGTGAAAGTTTAAATCCAATTAAAAAAATATTGATAATTAAACAATTTAAAATTTATTAGCTTGTGTGGCAACTGTTAAAAATTGTATTTCCAACACAACAAAGCATGTACAAGAGTGCACAAGATTATTGACGCAAAGGTATGAAGTTCTGAAAAACTTTACACCACAGGCTAGGATGACTGCAAATGTTTATAAACAATACAATAGGTAAATATTAGAAAAAAATTGTAATAGTAATTATAAAAAAAAAAAATTAATAAATATGGTTGCATTTACTTATGGGGATAAAGTTCTGAGAGTATACCTTATTTTATTTTTTTAAATTTTTTAATCTAACTAAAGAAAACAAAAATTTATTTTGCAAATAGTTTTTATCAACATTAAATATCAATGTCATTAGTTTTAAATAATCATCAAAATTGATTTATTATTAATTATAGAAGAATTTACAAAAGCTGTAGATTTTTTTGATTTGAAACTTAATAATGAATATTTAAGTTTTGTCAGTTATTAAATAATTATAATAACTCATTTTTAATTAATTATTATTGATATGTTATATATAGATATTCAACTTTTGGGGACGTGAGACAGACTGTTAATAATATTACTGTATGTCTGGAAGCTTTAACTTTGCAATCTTTACTTGTTCAACGTGCACTAGATGGTTATGATGATAATTCGATACAAGATAATTCAGGAAATAAGTCTGATATTGATAGAATTAGTTCTGTAACTGAGGATGCATTGTTGGGATTGCAAGTAAGTATTTATAAGAGCATGATTTAAACTTCAAAATTATTGGTATTAAATAGATATCAATCAAATAAAATATTGGTAGTCATTTGTTTTTATTAAAATCTAGTCAGATCTTCATGCCGCGCAGTGTTCTGTTGAATTAGCAGCACGGCAATTGGCCAAGTTACGAAAATTAGATAAAGAAAAACGAGTTCAAGAACAAACTGAAGATGCTGAAAGTGGCATGCTGAATGTTCATAGGCATCCAGAAATTCACACACAAGTTGTGAGTCAAATTTAACTTAGTATTTAGCTAAATTTGGATGTTAAAATACAGAAAATTTTAATTTTTCATTTGCATTAACTTAAGTTTTTGCTGCATAGATTTAAAAAATCTATGGGCTTTCTAAATTCTAAACAGCTAAAACATATCAATATTATATATTATATTCGTTTGATAATTGAAACCATTACTTTGAATATATATTTTTTATTTTTTCAAAACATTCTTGACCAGTTTTCAAATAAAGCAATAAATTCTTAAACAATTATCACTATTTGGGCTTTTGTATTTAATTTATTATGTTTAGTTTTATATGTTTATGTTAATGTGCTTTGTTTTTTTTACAGAGAAAACTTGATGAAATTCCTGATGACATACATGATGAAATTTTTGAGTTATGTGAAAGACTGTCAGATGATGAAGAAGATGATTCAGATGCAAACGACCATAATTTACATGAGATTATACAAAAGAGAGCTGAGGACAGAGTTGCTGGAAGACTGATAAAAGAACTCAAGACTGCTCTGGTTTGTTTGACTTTTCTATGTAATAAATTTACTTTTTTTGGTCCACAGTACAACATAATTATTTTTAAAATTGACTTGTATTAGGTTAAAATTTGATTACTATTTCATAAGCAACAAAAAAAGACTATTGTATGACTTTTACCTTTTTATATCCTCAATATTATATGTAGTAATTTCAAATGAAATTTCTTAGTTGGTCAAACGTGCTGAAATGTTAGAACGGGAAGAAGTGGTCAGATCAATTAAGAATGGATTTAATCGACAAATGTCAACACAGACCTATGAACAAGAAGAAACTCCGTCAGAAATGATAGCTTCTATTATGAAAACCTATAATGAGGAAATGGCTTTTAGAGGCTCAACTTCTGGATCACAGAATGGTTCAAAGATGAATAAAGTAGATGCTTGCACCTTAAACTCTATGAAAGACCAAGAAAGTTTGAATTCGACTGGCATATCACAAAGTATTCAATTTATTATTTACATTATATTTTTAAATTGGTTTAAAAAGAGTGGATTTTGTTTTACTTAAAATTTATTTGATTGTGAAATTTAACATAACAAAAATCATTTAGTTACTCTTAATTTTATTATGCCTTGATATATTATATATATATATATATATATATATATATATATATATATATATATATGAATAAATAGTAAATTCTTTCTTTAAACAAACTACTTACAAACATAACTATAATGATATTTTTTGTTTTCTTTTAGTAGTTCGATGGATGTTGGAAATTCATTTTGTTGTATTATTGCACACACACAAACATATATATATATATATATATATATATGTGTGTGTACCATGTGAATATTATTTTACAGGTTCGCTTTTTATGAAACATGGACAACCGGAAGAAAAAGTTTACCAACAACGCTATTACACCTCATATCCCAATAATACATTCCAACCAAATATTGATAATAATTATTTAAAAGAAACACCATCACAAGTTTTAGAATTTCTTCACAATGAAACGCATAGAGATAGCAGTTTTGAAAGTTTATATCTAGATCATAATTTTTCAGATATTTCATTGATAAAAAATGAAATGTTGGATGAAGCAAGTATGCAAAAACAAGAGAGTGAATATGAATTTAATTTTATGCTTGAAGATAGTGTACGTGACGAGTGTGGATACACAGATTTAAAGGTATATATGAAAATAATAAGTTTTTGTTTTGACTTATATTTCAATAAGTA